GGATGACATAACAGACTGAAAGCAGGATGGATGCTGGAGAGAGTGAGTGGCTAGTAAGCAGTACTTGAGAGAGGATCACTGGGAAGGACACCTGGTATCAAACTAAATGGAGCTCTGTTGGTGTCTTGAAGAGTTGCAGAAGTGCTGGTGACTGCCTTCTGGGTGGCAGAGGCTTTCTTACCTTCAAGCCAGTATGTTACCATGTCTCCCTTCCCCTAAGGAAGAAAATGAGTCGTGGGATTATAATACTACCCACCATTCATGTAATAATCTTCTTACTGCAACTCAAAGCAAGTCCCAAAAGGAGACCGATGTGCCTGTCAGCCATTTTACATACAGGAAAACTGAGTCATAAAATTTTCCTTAAAAGACAGTGGCAGCACTATCAATTAAAACAATTATTTGACGTCTCATCCAAAACTGGGTCCAGAAGTATATTAGTCCTCTTATGGAATTCTTATGATGATTTATGATGTTTCTGCATGATCTTTTTTGATTTCAAGCAGTTACGACAAAGTGATGTGCCACACAGTACTTACAAGTTTGGTTAAGTCCTTCATCTCTGAATTATCAAGGTTGTCCCATGAACAAGCCTGCGGAATTAGTCCTGGTTTAAAAACTGAGCTTGCTTTCTTCAGGCACAGGAACTAGTCTAACCCAAGGACTGCATGGTTTAAAATTCAGGGACTCCAGAATACTTTCACACTCCCCTCTCCAAAAAACTGAGTATAAATGTTGCATACACACCTTGACTTGTAAATTTCCACGGCATACTAGCACATACTTTCCAATCTGTTCCAACAGCTGGTACGCACTTGAACTGCACTGTATTTTAAGAGCTGGAAAGAGAGACAATTGTCATATAATCACAACCACTTAAACACCTAAGACAGACCCATCCCCCTCTGGTGCCAAAGACTTCAAGTCTCATTAATGTACTTCCCCTTGCTTTTTTCATGTCTTTGCTGTCGTTCCTTTGTTATTTTAAATGTTCGCACACAAGCTCCAGCATCCTGGGCCTCTTTGTAAGAGCATCTCAGGACAAATACGTGGCTGTCAACAAACACTACTCTTCACATTCTGCACCTAATATTATTTGTCTACTCTTCATAGCTGCCTGGCTGGAGTTACTGATGAGCACCCTTTTCATCTTGCTAAGAAAACAGTAGTTCTAACTCCTGGTCAATAAAAAGACAGTGCTTTCTTTGCACATACAATTTTCAGCAAGGACTAAACATTAAAGAAACTGCCACCCTTGCTCTGCCTTCAAACCTGTAAATACAAGCGGAGGGAAGAGACAATATTACTGTAATGTCACTATTTTTTTTTAACAACATGATTTTTCCTTAATTGGCATTTATCTTGATGTAAACCATGTCTGACTCAGCTTCTGCAAATGATGGAGGAAGGATCAAGGAGGAGGACAGATAGCACAAATTCTGAATACTCCTCCTTTTCTCAGAGAGCAAAATTTTGCCAATATTTGGAAAATTTAAAAAAAAAAAACAACAAAAGCTGGATATTTTTTGCCTCTAACATTCTGCAACACAGAGTAAATCATTATGCTTCTTTGTTTGAAAAAAGATCCCAGACAATAGTAGGACTGGCTATGATTGTCTTACTGATTTTTCTTACATCAGAAAATGACTTTTGTAATATTCACTTTTATTGTTGTTGTTGATTAAATGTTTTTTATTGAAAGTCTCAAAACACTCCCTGTAGACCAGGAAATATATATTTCAACATATCCAGATACATATCTCTGAAATACTATTTCCAGTAGACACATGATATTTTAACTGGTCATCCTGCTTGGGAACAGGTTGCTAGCACTCAGATTCCAGCTGACAGCAATTTTAATTTACATTGCCAGTAACTAATCTATTTTAAAATCATAGAATCATCATAGAAATGATCATCTTAGGTTTAAAACATGTTAATGTAATATGAGATCCTCAGATGTACTTGGCCAAAGAAAGAGGGAAATGAAAGAAAGGCTTAAAAGATAAGAAGCTCTGTCTTTATACAGTTTTTAGTGTTGATGAACCATATAAGAAATAGACTGACATAGAGAACAAAAGATGAAATATGAAGAATGATGGAAGCAGATTTTTAAGGCATTAGTTTTAAAGCAGTCCAGATGAGATGATACAAGGAGCCTGAAAGAAGGAGGAGGAGAAGGAAAGGAGTTATATGGGAGGCTGACAGAAGGAAAATAATGTTATATGTGTTCCATACAGGCTAGCACTTGCTTTGGAAAAATGTATAAAATGGTGAGAAGGAATGGATGCCCATGGAGGTTGTGGAGTCTCCTTCTCTGGAGACATTCAAAACCTGCCTGGATGCGTTCCTGTGTGACCTACTCTAGGTGGTCCTGCTCTGGCAGGGGGGTTGGACTAGATGATCATTTGAGGTCCCTTCCAACCCCTAACACTCGGTGATTCTGTGATTCTGTGTGATTCTCAAATCCTCTGACTAAACCTTCAAAGCCATCATGTAGGATCACTCCCCTGCCTTTCTGCCTTGTTTCTAGTGAATCATGATAGATGTTGAAAGCATCACTTGAAATTAAACTTTAAAACACTTTGGATTTTGCCTAATTCAAATCGATTTACAAAGCATAGAAATGTGAGCCATAAAACTATACAGCTTCATTCCATGAATGAAAGAAGCAAAAACAAACCTTCAAGGTTGTTTGACCTTGAATCACTCCCTCATTCTTTTTTTTCCAGTTCTTGTAGACCAGGGTAAAATATTTCAAAAGGTGAGGTTCAAATGCTCATACTGGCTAAAGATGAAGCTTGCTAACTAAACATGGAGCTCTGTTGTCTCCTCGGATGAAGTGAAAGTGAGGATATCTCCATGATTTAATCTCTAGAGATTTCCGTCTAATCTCTTTGCTGAAGGACAGATACATAATTTCTGTGCTGGTTAAAGACAGACACAGCTCCCATGGTGTCCTACAATCTCCTGTGTTCTCCATCAGAGGAAGTTATCAGCGAAAAAGAGCAGTCATGAAAACATTTTTACTCTAAGTTTGCCTGAGTGACAGGAAGGAATAGAAACAGTGAACGTATCCACTTACCTCTCACTTTATCTGATTCTTACCCTTTTTTATTGTAGAGAACTTCAAAGCCATGAAAATCCCTTTCTGAGACTTGGGGAATGGGGGCATATTGATAAAAAGTTGTAGAGAACATCACTGGCATAATTTGCCCATAGGCAGATTGGAGCCAGAAATCAACAGGGTCCTTACAGTGTTTGCAGTAATTTAAACAGGACAGGACTCAAAACTCAGCATAACATTTTTTTCAGAACTCATTAAGGTTTGGTCAAAACCACATCTGCAATCTGTTCCTTGATACCTTCACTGGTAGATTCCATCCTGGAAGCTGTGTTCACAGTATCTCCAAATAAACAATACCGTGGCATTTTGGTCCCAACAACTCCAGCTACAACTGCCCCTGTTAAAGAAAAGAAAACAAGGTATTTTGTGTTTTTAAATCATACAATCAGTCATACAGCCTCAGGGCTGCTTCCTACATTATCTTATATCTCCTTCATTAACAGGTAAAGACTGAGTGTCAGTATTACATGGGTTATATATCTGACTTACAGATGGCTTCCAGAGCCATGGAAGGAATTGCGGAAGGGCCTCAAAGGAGAACAGCGTGGCAAGTGATGATGGGACAGAGATAGCGTGCACGAATTAAGGCACCTGCAGAATTGTGTTTCAACACGACAACAGACATATTTTGAGAGGCAGTGAGAGAGGAATGCTGCCAATAGGAGTTGTGCATGCAATGCTCACTAGTCAGAAGGAAAAGCAGGAACAGGAAGTATTGAAGGCAGAAAATTAGCATTTTGATTCCTTCATGTCAGCCCCAGGGGATTTAAAATATAGATAATGTGATCTCTTGCTAAGACAATGTAAGCCGCTTAATTTCCAGATGCTGGGCTGCACAGCACATGTCCAAATCTGGCTGTCTTCAAGAAGGAGTTGCAATCACACATCAGATTAGATCAGGGAGCTGGGAGTCTGAGAGTGAAGGATAGATCAAAGAGTCAAGAAGCGACTCACTGCTTTGAGAAGAGAGCAGCTGAGAAGGACAAGTAACAGACACAGAATGGCAGTCCTCACTCACAACAGCAAAGGCACTGGGGCCATGTGGTGTTTCTAATGTTGTATTCCACACTGTGTTCCAAATGCCCCAGGTATCCAATAATTTATTCTGTTGGGATGGCCTCTATGAGGTGTTCCGTTCCATGTCAAGAAACTTAACTTCATTTTTAATGGAGAGGAAATGCCACTACAGAAACATTTGTTTGACCAGAGGAGACTCTTTTGCAGTCCTCTCAACATACCTGAATGGATTCCTGCTCTTATCTTTAGGAGAGTGTTGGGTTTGTGTGGGATCTTAAAAGTCTTGCAGACGTCCAGAAGGTCCAAAGCCATGCTTGCTATCTCACCAGCATGAAGGATCCCATTCTCTTTGGGTACTCCTGACACCACCATATCTTAACACAACAATGCAACTGTGTTAACCTTTGGCATTACACACAGATTTACCAAAGGATGCTGCCTAAGTTAGAAAAAACCAAAGCCCCATCCCCTCATAACCTGTGGCACAGTTGTGCCTGCTGAGCAGAGAAAGCCAGAAACGAAAGAAGGGTAGGCCAACACCTCATGTGTGTAATTACCCTAGCTTTGTGAAATGCTGGATTTCCTTCCTACTTTCCCATAAGATTTATTCCCTTCTACCCTTTCTTCCTCCCCCCGCCCCTCCATTGAGGATGCTTGAAGTGGGACAGGTAGTGGGAAAGTGGCTGTTCAATACCTTTTGTCTTTGGGCAGATATTATGAAAAGAGACAATGATCCCCACTAGGCATTGTCCTATGCTTCCTGCACTGACTCTTGCTGTGTAGGACAAGAGGGATGTCTCTTCAGGATCCCTTGGGTGCATTTTTTAAGGAATTTTATGCTCCAGAAGGTGCTCAACCATGCCACAGAAAAAAAGTGGGTTTTCTTCCATATTTCTCATAGCATTTCCTGTCTGTCTCATCCAAAAATTCTGCTAGATTCTGCTAGGCTTTTGATGGAACTCAGTTTTGATGGTTGTCAATCCCCATCAGATTCCCACGGTAGCAAATTGAAAGCCATTGGCCTAAAAATCCAAAAAGAAGAGGTAGCCAAGCCCCTATAGAGTATACAGACGGGGATCGTTGTCATGGTCTTTGCAAAAAAGACAGAGATAATAAAACTTATGGAATGGCATCTATGCTCCCATGGAGAAGGTAAATTTTTCAGCTATATTCCTGTGAAACAGAAGTTGCCAACTGGGATTAATGCCAAGGCTTAAAGTCAGACCTTACAGGTCATAGGAACCAAATAAACAGCAGCATTAGTTTGCTCAACTCATTTGTCCCATCTACAACATTTATCCATTGTAAAAATGATGAAAGTTATGCAGGAAAACATTTCTAAACTTTGCTAGATCTCTGCTAGGATTTCTCCCCTAATTGTTTTGTGTGGTCTTCCCAGTAGTAATAAGTTTTCCAAATCTCCTTCATCTATTCTTCCTTGTCATCAAACCAGTCTCTACCCTGATGAAATACTCATGCCCCATCATTGTCCACAGCTCAAGGAACTTACAGGCATCTCCTATTGTCTCCACCTTATAGACATCATAGTTATCTATGATTTCATCAAAAGTGGTATAAAGCTTGTTCAAGAGATCTACCACTTGGTAAGGTGTGCTGCTGCTGGACAGCTGAGTGAAGCCAACAATATCACTGTTAAAACACAACAGAAAGAACATACTCATCCACTGCCTTAACCATTGCAGATTGGTAATCCTAAATACACAGTAATACTTTCTCAGTGGAACTACCTCAACCTTCTCTTTTTTCAGTATTTTGCTAAAGATCTCACAGAATAGTTTTGTCTTCAAACATTTACTTAAACTGAAAACAGACTCCTTCCATGTAAAAGGACTGACTGACCTAAGCCTTCTTGCTTATCAATGCAGTAAACAATTTTTTACAGCTAGACTTTAACCTGCAACAGATGCAGTAGTCTTCAATTTTGGGATATGTACAAATGAAAAAAGGGAACTTAATAACTGTCCATTCATGACAAGTGAAGACATGCAATTTATGTGTTGCTTCATGCACACATATCAAGTCAAAGACTGTAAATCCATGTGGACTCTAAGGACAAACAATTTTCCTTTACACAGCTAAATGCTAGAACATTTACTTAGGCCTATCTTATGAAACATGCATGTGAGTATAACATACACAAAGTGACGTGCTGCTGTGTGTTACAGCTTCACAGTAATCCCATTTTCTATTTAAGTAATCATAATGAAAAATTGAGAGGTGTGAGAATTTTGAAAGACACTAATTTGCACAGTTAAATGTTGCCAACCTGGTACATAGTTTAGATAGAAATTCTGTGCTTGGTTAGGAGATTCACCTCCACTAGAAGCCTAAAAGTTTCTTCAATAGGAGTCAGTTCTAGTCCTTTCTTTTCTGTTTACCTGAAAAAGATGGTGGCACTTAAGTAACTTTGAGCTTGTGCATGTTTTCCCTGCCTGAGATCATCTGCTACTTGCTTCGGCAACATACCTGTTGTAGAAAATAAAGCAGTCACTCTTCTGATATGGATAAAAGCACACAATAAACAGAATATATTTGTTTAAAGGTATAAAAACAATGTTCATCAATGTGAAACATTCTGAAAGTGTGAAGCACTCTTCAGCATCAAAATCTGCTCTGCTGTAGTGTAAGAATTCACAGTAAATCTCGCCGATAACAAGTCCAGATTTTTCAGATGACCCATAACTTTTAGTTCAAACAAACCAGTAGCTATACATACCAAGACAGAGTAGGGCTAGATTCTAACAGCATGACTCTGGATATACTAGCTGCTTCTTTGTCGGCTCTTTGATAGTGTTTTGTTCCTGTGTTAGGTTTGTTTACTATCTCTTCTCTGACTTTTTTGATCTTCTTTATTTCTCCTATCTTGCACTTTCACAGCCTTTTACTTTTTCTCTCCTATGTGTTATGCCTGTTCCTTTACCCTTTTTTCTTGAAGAATTCCAGAAGATACACTGCCATCAAAAGTAACCTGAGGCCAAAAGCAATTCCCCAATATTTATAACTATACAGAAGGACTGCCAAGCAAGATCAAAGTGAGAACACTGTGGATTCTGGAGTCATAGCTCTCAGATGAGTGCAGTGATTTTTGGGGAGGAAAATATAAAAAGTGGCTAAGCATCTTTCCAGCATTGCAAGGAACAAGTATAGTAATTCATAGCCAACTAAAAGTTATCTATTAAATAATCACCTATTAAAGGGTCTCTGTTCGTAATTAGACAGTTAAGATCAAATTATTATTTAATTTGATCTTAATATACCTTAAAAATAATGGAAAATATTCCAAAAATACTGGAAAAGAATATCCAGTATTTTTGCTATATAACTTACTATACAACAGACGATCAGTCTTCTGTTTTTCGTGCATTAAATCCTGGGTTCTCTCAGAAACCAGTATCTCCAGATGTTTGCTATATTTCTCCATCTAGATAACATAGAGAATTACATAAAATGATCTTTTTGCTGAAACAGATTCATAGTTGGACAGGATTTAAGAATGATTCTGCTTTAAAAACATTCAGATAAGCAAAGGCTCAGTTCAGATTTCTCCCTAGGTAAATTTATGATTCCACATTCAAGATTGTTGATTACACATAAAGGGGCAGAAGCCAATTCCAGACTTCAAATCCTGTGTAAACATTTGGGATCAACTCCAATGCAGAGACCAAGCTGCAGGCATGGATTAAAATATGTTACCAAACCCAAAGGTTTCTAAGTCTCAGTGTTTTATCAAAAGCCCACAATGCTGTTTCATAAATTATCCTGTTATGCTATGCCACACTACACTTTTGCATCCCTGCTCTATGTGAGGCAACAGGCTGTGGAGGCAGGAGTGTCTTTTCTCTGCTGATGGGCTCAAGATACTCTGCTCAAAATACGTCTGTAAACATGCTATTTGTGGCATGCAGGGATTCTATACCTTTAGCACTCTAAGACCACCACCAAGCCACAGCAAAAGGGAAATACAGTTTCCTGTGTTAAAAACCAAGCAACATTTGACTGAAGAAACAAAAGTGTTCAGCCTGAACAAAGTTGAGAAAGTTAAGAAAAACTGACATAATGGAATGAGAAGGAAAGCTGCGTCTCAAGCAGAACTGCAGCTACAATCAGCCCACCAGAGGTTAATGAATGATAGTGGATTTTGTCATCACATAAGGGGTACGAGATCAAAAGACAAACCTGAAGGATAGAGGTGAAAGTTATTGCAAGTGAGCAGAGTGACTTGGATTGGATTAAAAAACTAAATTTACCAGAGTCATCATCATGTCAACAGGGCTAACTTTATTAGGATTCATCTTGGACAACATTTTCTTGACTTGTTCAAATGTAGGCCTTTGCGCTGGATTATTTTTTCTGCACCTTCTGATTAACTGCAGCAGGAAAAGAAAGTGAGTGAGAAAAGCAAAGAGCCTTTTGTCATTCCAAGCACAGGCAGTGTTTCGAATTAATACTACTATTTTCTCAGTGCATACTGTGCATGTGAAGCCCTATCTGCAGCTGGTGAAAAGTGGCAGAGCTATACTGAGGCCTCCGGAGTTCTACAGATTTATGCTGAATGAAGGACATTAGTTCATGAAAATGCTGCTGTAGGAAATCATTAATTAGATGCTTGTCCTTTCTGCCAAACACTGTTTAAGCTCTTCTCTTGTGCTATGTGTTGTGTTATGCTATTGGAGTCACATATTGTTTTCAGAGGACTTGACTGTACGCAAAATTCACAAAAGATTAAAAACTGAACTGCTTCTTAAGAATGTTAACTCCTGACTAAAATCCAATAATGCTTATGAGAAGTTAGTTACATTTAGGTTGCTACAAACCACTAAAGGTGAATTATACAGCTCTCGAGCTGAAACAAAGATGTCACGATTTTGTTCTGATTTAATTGAACTGGGAGAGGGTGTACTTTGTTTTATTAGGCAGTTTGAGGCTACTGCAGACACAGACCTTTTGCATGAGAATCAAACCAAACTCATACTTTGCCTGAGACACATATTTCACTATTTGAAAATCCTTTGCCAGTAAGCTAGACATATTACTAATATAAACTAGGTATGGAGCTCAACACTTTATAATAAAATGAAAATGCACAAAAATCAATGACTGAATATTAAAACCATCATTTATTACACTGACAATTTAAGGGGATAACTGAATCTTTCAATTTGTCAGAATGACTGTTTTTTTTATTAAGGATATTAAAGCCTTGTTTGAGATGTAGTTCTTGATGTCTGGATTGTTTACATTCGCCAAAGGTAATACTGCCATAAAACTTCTGTGACGTCTTAAATTCACTTCAATGAAGAATTTTTGTACACAATATTGTATCTTACTCACCTCTATGTAATCTGTGGGACAAGGGCAAGCATCCTCAGCCTTTCCTGAAATTAATTCTGCCAAAGGTGGGCACCAAGAATATTCAGCTGAATGCACATCATCTTTCTAGAGAAAAAGGGTTTAAACAATGTTGAAGTGCTGTGTTTTTCATACTACCCACTGAAAATATATTACTATGATCATCATTACTTTTATAGTATCTTCCCTATCACTTCCAGATCACCTTTCTTACAGGAGAGTACAAGAAAAAAAGAAAAAAGGATATAACCTAGTCTAAACTACGTGGCCTTGTTTAAAAGCTTTTTCATGACTGAAAGACTTTAATCTCAGTGTTTATATGAGGTAAACAACTTTGAAAACACATAATACCTGGCAAGATATTGGGAAACTTTCAAGAAACCACGAGGCCTACATTGGTCTATTATCACAAACTGTCAGAAATGGAAGGATGGCTGTTTCAGGTCTTCGTGGTTAGAATTCATGTTAAGTAAATTACTTCAGACAAAACCTGGTCACATATCCAGAACATCTGGTTTCAATTTCAAGGTGCATTTTTTTGTGTTTGCCATTTAGCACTGATCACAAGGCAGTGCAAATAAAACGTTTTCCTTATGGAAAGCATCTCATTTTCTCTTCTAGCGTATTCTTACCACTGCAAGACTCTACCAAAAGGGCCTGTGCGTGGCAGAAAAGGGAAGGAACAACAGGAGAAAAAGGAAGATATTATGGCATACTTTCCCTCTCCACCCCCATTGCCATAAAGCCTCACAGAGCTAATGAAAAGGCAGTTTTGGAGCTACATTATTTTTGTCAAACACTATTCTTCAAAGTCCTGAAGGGAAGACTGGTAAATGCATGAGGAAATCCTGCTTGCATCTTCCATTGGAAATGTACTTGCACCCACAAAATCAAGAGGAAAATGCATGCTTAAGAATAAATTAAAAGTACAGTTACTCAGAGTTAGGTGTGCATCTTCAACAGAAACAGAATCAAAATTGTCAAGCAAACTTCAAAGTTCATCTTTACTTACTGCCATAGGGTCACTTCTCGTGGCAATTTCCAGTAAAATGATGGCATAACTGCAGGATAAATGCAAACCAAAATCTTAAGGAAATAATTTAATGGAGTCAGTGATTTCTTCTTTCCCTGATTTCTTGTTCTTCCCCATTTTATAACTGAAAGCCCAGTGTCCCAAAAGGAAGGAAACAGTGCTGCTGTTACTACTTTGTGTTTTCAGAGATCTATCACTGGTCATTTCATAGCAGTCTTCTCTCAGTTATCAGAGATGAAGCATTTGTGTTTGATAGACAGGAAAGCAATTTTTTCTGGAAGAATTAATGGAATCCAGACTGGGTATGTGCAGGGACTTACGTAATACCTACCAGTTAAACATACAGGACAGGTTTGTGCTGTAATCAAGGGGCAGCAGCAGGTTCATCAGGATTATCAGCTGGAGGAGTGGCTTCTTTTCACCATAGATCGCTGTTCTGGAAAATCTCCATAAAGTCAATGATGAGACAGTATGTCCAGAGTGGATCTTTTACAGTAAAGTACACATTTTTGCTTGTTATTTCTGATTTATATTTTCAGCAGCAGCAGCAGCTTCCTCAGACGTACCAAGGTCAAACACATTCATCAAGGGTGAAGAATGGAAAAAATGGGGTAACAACTGGGTGTTCAGTCTCGTTATTGCACTCACTAGAGATCTTTTAGAACCGTGATCTTCAAGAAGCCAGCACCTCCTCCAGCCAGCAATCCTGATAAAGATGCTGTTGCTTCTTTATGTATTGAAACTGTGTAATAATTGACTCCCAGTATGCATCTCCATGTGATATCATTCATTTTTATGAGGAATATTGGTTCGCAATCTATTGTATTGCTAATGGTTGCTCTGAGCTGTAAGGCATTCTAGCTGTATAATGGGGTATGTCTACCTATCTTTCAGTCCACTCATGGACCACCAATGGCAAGTAAAATAATGCATACAAACCATGCTGAATAATGTAGAAATTAATCTGATGAGATTTTTATGTTAATTTTGGGATGATTTGGTAGTAGAAAGGAATACCCGTCCTGGTAAGACAGCAAAGCTGAAATAGATTTTTAAGGAGAATAATTAGATGATGGTAACTCTGATAAAGCAGTATTGATTTCATTCAGCTTCAGCAGCGCTGTTCAAAAAAGTCCTAACACAGGGGATAGTGAAATTCACATAACTATTACGAATCAAGAGGATCCAGTCTAGGAGAAACTGTGACTGGAAACAGCCTCTTCAGCTCAAACAGGAGATACTCTCATGTTCCTGTTCTCATTCCCATTTTAGCTTTCCCATCTGACCAACACATTCTCTGGAGAACTTTAAAATCAAGTGATTCACCTATAAGAGCACACAAAATTTCAAGTCCCACTACTGCAGTTTCTACTCATTTTTTATTTGGGCCATACCTTCAGGAATATTAATAGAATTTTTGCACAGATAAAAACTGAGGATTTCAAGACTGGGACACTGCTCCTGGCCAGCAAGCCCACATGCATGTATCAGGAAAGCTTAGCACCAGCTCATAACATCAAACACAAACTGTGTTAAAATGCAGGTTCTGAAGAATAGCTGAGTTAAAAAGACAACCCTTTTAACGCTACAGGGTACATACATCTCTATCTTTCTTCCCTAACTGCACATTGCTCCTCTCCCTTTTCTGATTTCATCTTTTACTGATTTTTCTTTCTTACCAAGAAAGGACAACTTACAACAAAAGAAGACCTGGATTTTGCAGGCACAAGGACTGACAGAAAGACAGATTCAGCAAGTGTTTACTGAATCTGTCAAAATTTCATTGTAGTCACCTATGATATGAGTAAATCAGCTCTATTTTAAGAGGAGTCTTTGGCAAGAAATGGCTTCAGGAGGCTACGTTGCCTGCGAAGTCAAGTAATGATATCTAACCTGAACATGGGCAAAGTGTGAACTGGACAAGTACCAAGGAAATATTTTCTGGAATGCATTTTGGCTGTGGGGCAATAATAAACTGCAATGCATAAGACAATCCTAAAATTACTGCTCAGTTGTAGCACAGTACTTTCTGTCACCAGTTCGTGTTGAAAAAGTAAACACCAATACAGGACAAATTTCAATAGTCAGAAATATCAACACAGTGACAAATGGCCTTTAGTTGAGCTATTCTGAAGCAAATTCTAAGAGTATGTTTAAGCTTACAGATACAAATACTACTGAGACCTCAAAATCTTGCTTACATAATCTTATAGAATAGATTACAATTCATAATATTCCAGAACAATGTATATGCATACATTTCTTTACTAGGGATTAATGTGCATTAATCCAGTAAATCCTATATACAAAATCATGTCTTCAATTCATATAATTTTTAGTGAATCCTAATTGAGAAAGAGGGGAAGACTGAAACTTATCTGTCTCTGCAACTAATTTTTCATTAAAAGCCCCATAACAGTCACTTAAGGCAGTAAACATTTCTTGTGGCCTGCTGCAGGCCAGAGTAATACTCAGAGCTTTTGATAAAAGGTAATAATAGCTACTCTTTGGCAAATGTTGTTAATGAACAGCGCTAATAACTGTCCCTCCTTCTGCTCAACTGTGTTGCACTATCAGCATTTCAATCTCTAATTGAACTCCTGTTCTTCACATTCTGCTAGCTACCAAAGTCACAAGGAAATAGAAGACTTCTGCTGGGCTGGGAATGTGGCAAGAAAAAGTAAAAGAAAAGGGCCACAAAACATCTTGTAGTACCGTTCTGCATTCTCCCCTTTCAAATGCTTTCAGCAAGTCACAGGAAATAAGCAGACAGAGGAAGTATCATTGTTATGAAATACAATACACCAAGAACACAGTGATTTTCCTACTTAACACAGAAAATTCATGCAAGAACCAAGAAATACAGATAATTTTCTAAAAAACCTAGTTCAATGACTTTTTCATTAGAGATTATTCTCTGAAAATTCAGTTGTAATCCCACTTATTTGAAAAGTGGTTGGATAGAAGCTACCCATCACTAGCAAGTCTAAACCTGATAGTCAAATAAGCCATTGCAGAGTGATCTCCTATAAAGGCTTTCAAAAGGAAAGTGACAGAGCTATTCACTAGTGCATCTATTTCCTTTTCCTACCTCTATTTTTTCTCTGCAAACCAAATATTGTAATTTTGTGTATGCAGCAAAATAATGTATTGACACAAATTATAGAATTATGGGATGCATATGTGCATTATGACATCCTGGAAAACTGATGCTATTAACTGTTAAGGTTTTAAGGTATTGACATTATTGAAAATTATCTACCTTTTCATAAGAAACAGCAATAAAAAAGAATTACTAGATAACAGCAGACCTTTATACCTTTTTTATCTACCAGTCCACAGTAACCTTTTATTAATCATTAGACCAACTCTGCATTTATATAACATCAGTGAATTCAGTATTTGATTACCTACCTTGAAAGAGAGGATTCTGTGATATATATACTGTTCTGTATTCCAGAATCAATCGTTTTTAAAATACAATTAAACATATACCTGGGGTGACCACAGAATTACACTGATCCTAATTGTGATTAAAGAATAGTCATCTTGAGATGAGATTTTTAAGTATGAGAAACAGGAATAGTTAACTACCTGTAGACATCTGTCACCGAATTGGGTTCAAAGTCTGAAAAGGAATGGATTTCAGGAGCTGTGTAAATCTGTATCAAATGCTGCTGGTATGAGCCTGACCCCTCAGGAGAATCTTCTTTTCTGTATGACTGTAAACCATAATCTAACACGGAAGAAAAAAGAAAGCAAACTGTTGAGTGGGTACTTCTCTGAAACATGTGCATTAGCAGACAGTAACATAACTAGTCTAAAAGAATTAATTTTCACTATTTGAAATACACATCTCAGTCTAAAAAGAGTGTGTATCTGGTGGTCTTGTCCCTCTAAATCAATTGCAAATACAGAATCTGGAAACCAAATATTTGGGTGAGACTGCATGACAGCAGGGAAGTTGAACTACATGGCCTCTTTGAAACAAAATTCTTTTATGATTTTACAAAATTATATTCAGAGAACAAGCTCACTTCGTTGCAAGAGTTAGCATGCAAATGCAGGTTTCTGTTCTACTTGTCCCCTGATTATTGTCTGTGGTGGCTGGTTGCTAGAGTAATTACAGGTTAGACAGACTAGAACTACTGCAAATCAGATGGTGGGCTTTACTTGCACACCACTAGCTTCAAAACAAAGGCAGCATAAACATGACACATCTTTGCAGCTATACTTTTAGCCTAACATAGAAGAGATTCTCAGCATGTGACTCAGCGTTGGAGAGGAGAAAAATCCAACTGACTTCAGTTTTCTTTCTAATATAACCAGCACTCTGCTGAGTGCATGGGAATGCAGAATCAGACATCTGGTTTTGTCTGGAGGGATCTCTAGTTAAAATGGTCCTAAAGCTTCATTCTTTATGTTGGAAGTCATTGGAGTTTCTCAAATAGCTCCCACATTGCTTATTTGTGAGGTTTGTTTAACATTATCATATCCAGATAAAACATGAATAATTGAAGTCTCTACAGTGCTACCAGTTAACTTCTGAACAATTTCACAGAGACGGGTTATAGAGTGTGATAACTACTTTGAGGAGGAAACAGAAGATATGATCATTGCTATCATTCCCTTTGGCAGCTGCAAATTAAACTAGACTCTCCAGTGGTTTTTCTGTCCCCACAGGAAGTCTTCCTGTATCAGGAGCAGAGCAGACCTGTAACTCTGTCTCTGGGAGAACACAATTCAGTTCTGTGTACAGGACTGAAAAGCTCCAAGATGAGTCTGCTTTTCTCCATGAAATTATTTTGCGTTTACCAGTCAGCATCACCCCATGTCTTTACAGCACTGTCCATGGCTCAGGTTTTTCTCTGTATCAAAACTGAGAATGAGAGACTTTCTGCTCAGACTGGTGACAGACTCCATCATTTGTGGGATCTGATGTGTGCATCAGTGACACTTGTTAAATGACTTGACATGATAACGTAACATGAAATTTGCTTCAGCACGGGGCAGTTCTAGTGAAGGCTGGTATAGTCAGCATTTCCACATGAAATGTCAACATGGAAGTGCTTGAGAGGAGTGTTGCATTAGTGGGTTAGCTTGACAGTTTTGAAATGTTGTTTCTTATTTTCTTTTTACCTGCAATTTTACAAACCCATCGGTCATCTATCACACAGTTACTAGACTTCAACCGTCCATGATACATTTTGTGGTGGTGAAGATAGGCCATTCCTTGCGCAATATCAGTAGCAAAAGAAAACCTGAAAGACAAAAATCAGTGAGCTAGTATTTCCGCTAAACCTTCACTCAAGAGTGGCACCAAAGCTGAAGCTGACAGAAAGCCTCCCTATCACTGCGATAGCTTTCAATTTGTGTCCCCATGCTCACTTTTCCAAAACACTTAAGATGGGTGCTGAAAGCCCTTAACTCCCACTCAGTTGTCTAAGTCCACAGGCCTTCAGCCTCTTTTAAGAAAGTTGAGTTTCTTCTAGAAATTCTGAGTACCTTTGTATCCTTGAGAGTGCTTTCAAATGTTTACAAGTGAAACAATTTTTTATTAACTTTCTCACTTTACTAAGAGGGTTTCCTCCCTTACAGTCTTTTTCTTTGCTGAAGGCAACTTTAGAAATAGTGTGCCAAGATTATTCTTGAAAAACAATGTCATTGTCTTTGTGGAAGTTTCATTGACAATGTGAGATCATTTTCTATATTGGTAAATATAATGAAGTGTAGGTTGGCATGCTAATCATTTCACCAATACGTCTTCTGAAACAGAGATGCAGTGATTTTTAATTAAATGGGAATGCCCAAGATATTTGAGAACAAAATGAAGTTACATGTGAAAAAAGGTTTAAAACCAGTTTTGCAGTATAATTAGAGGTGGGTTGAAAAGTCATTTTCTTTGCAAAACCAGCACTAAACATGATTGCTCAAAAATCCAGAAGAGAAGTTGGGCCGGATATTTTAATTCACTTTCTTTCTTTCTTCATACTCTCCATATCACAGTGCAGAGGTCTGTGTATCCAAGGACTTTATCTAAAATTAACATCTTGTCCTAAACTGCACAAAGCACAGTTTGTGTCATTTAGCTTATCTAAAGTTTTTCTACCTGAAGCCCCAGTTCAAAGGAATGTCTTCATTGAGTAGAACATCACTCAGGCTGCCTTTGGGGCAGTACTCTGTCACGATGGCAACATTTGGCACTTCTATACAACCTCCAATGAATTTGCAGAGATTGGGATGGTCAAGTTCCCTGTGAAAATCAACAGAAATCACAGCACACTAGCAATTTGCATAGATACCCCTCCTGCTTTTTGTAGGGTAACTGGAAAACCAAGTGCCTTGTCTCACAATGTAGAAAGAAAAGTAAAATCGGCATAAATAAATTTTGATCTGGTGTCAAAGCAAAGTTTGAAAGAAAGAAAAATATGAATTTACAGTTACATTTGGATAGATTGTAACCCCTAAAGAACCAGTGTAAAAAAGAAACAACATACACTTCTTAGGTTTCATTTCTTACCTCACTTGCTTCACTTCTTTACGTATGGATTTGGACAGCGTGAATGTCTTCTTCATTATTTTCTTTATGGCCACTGTTCTACCATCACTGAAACAGAATGAAATGCTGTTCACAGGCCAACTTCATAAGCCAGGCAGACTACAAATACAGACTGGATATTTTTTCTACAGTGGATAGCTTCATATCTCTAGAGATGAGGCACAGAATTTAAGCTTTTCTGTATGTGGGTGTAAATGTGAGTCTGAGCACATGACAGGTGATAGGGCCCTGTTTCTATGATAAGGGAAGCATTAGTGACTATACTCAAGCATCCTGCATGTGTGGATAACATTTGGAACGTGAGAGTGTTAGAGTTAGTTGAGGTAGTCAGATGATGGAGTATCAGCAAAGGAAATGTTAGAGTAGTGAAACACATACAGCAACATCCCTGCTATCTGTTGCTTCTGACTACTGTTTTGGAGATCCATCACTGATACTTAACATCCTTTTGTTCTCATGGGTTGAAGCATTCTCAGCGATGAAGCAGTTGAGTTCGATAGACAGCAAAGCAATTTCCGTTGGAAGAATAAAGGAATCCAGTGAAGCTACATGCAGGAATTTAAGTGATACCCACCATAAAAATACAGAGTATGTCGTCTGTAGTGTAGCAGGTGTAGGTGCTTCACAATGAGACTGAATGCCCCACTCTTACATCTTTCACCCTTGATAAATGTGTTTGACCTTGATTCATCTGAGGAAGTTGATGATGATGAAAATGTCATCATTCAGAAAGAAGTAGCAAAAATGCTTACTGTAAAAGACCTACACTGGACACAGTGTCTCATCAATGAAGTGGCTGTGATTTTCCAGAACAGTGATCTATACTGAAAAGGAAGCTGCTCCCCCAGATGATGATCCTAAGTACATTCCTCTATTCTGCAAAGCACAGATCCTGCCCTGTGTATTCAAATAGTAGGTATTATCTCCATCTTTGCACATGTTCCACCCCTATTCCCTGACTATATTATTTTTAGGGGAAAAATTGCTTTCTGGATAGCAGGATATGGCTATACTGTTTGCCCGTATAGTCATAATGATATGTACCTTTATAAAGTGATCCAGAGGTGAAATGCTCCGTATCTTCAGTCACACCAGCTGGTTTAAGGACAAGATTTCTAATGTGCTACTCTATAGGATGCTACTCTCTAGTGCAAAGAACCTAGCTGTGCTCTGCCTGCATTTTAGAGAAAGGGCTTTAGAACCAAAAGGTCTTGGTTCTAAATACATTTGAACAGTAAGGGCCATTCACTAATGGGTGTAAGAGACATTATGCAGCCACAGACTTTACCAAGTCCCCAAAAGAAAAGGAGAAATGACAACCAAACCAGAATCCTGGCATATAATATATGCCACAGCCAGTATGTGGTACAGAAGTCAGATGATGATGTTAACTTACTGGATTTGGCCTAAAAAGAGAAAGGCAAACTTTTGCACTACCCATAAACAGTAAAGGCAAGAACTGGAAAGCAATGTGAAACTATAGTATAGTAGGTACTACATGAAACGAGCAATGTATTGACTTACTATCTCCCAGTCTGGGTGAAGTAGTGTTTCCTGGACATGTTAGCAGTTGCTGTGCAGGAGCTCAGAGCAGTGATACAGCTGGCATTGGAGTCACTGCATGCTGGGTGAGCACTCATCACACTTCCTGTTGCTGTCCGTACTATGCAATCTAAATGGGATGTGGGATGAGAAAAGGGACCTGAAGATGCATATTATTGACAAGGTAGAGACTCCAGAGGCAGACAAATATGGGAATTCTCCAAATCTTTGCATCTCAGTCTTGTTAACACTGAAGACAGAAAGCCATTGCTTGAAATGTGACTGCTGCATAAAAAGTAAAAAAGTTTCAGAGATGATTCATTGCCAGAGATTTTTCTCGCTAATCCTCAGGATTTGATGCAAGTTTCACTTCCCTGCTTTTGGGATGACTAGCTCTTGCTGCTACTTAGATGCCGAGGACAGAACCCAGGGAAGCAGAGCAAGCCCTGTTCCATACTTTAACAAGTCTATTTGGAGCTCCTAGAAGATTGTAAAGGGATGTGGGAAGTGATTCTGACACCAGAGGGAAGTCAGAGCAATGATACAGTCAGATGAAAGAAAATCAGTGATCTCAATGTGTGTGTTTTAATATCTTAAGGTAACCAGCTCAAGGTAAGAAAATGGATTTGAAAACAAATTTAATGAATTACATATCATTTCACCACTGCCAATTAAAACCCAGATTTAGCCAATTTGTCTCAGCATTGCTGAAACCTCTCAACTCTCCCTGGTATCAGTATCTAACAAAGTGTTGCTGAGGAAGTTCAGCATCTCACCTTGCATCAGGACTGCCATGTTCCCACACCATAGTATTCTCCATATGCAGCTCAAAATCGTGTTGACGTTTGGAGTTTTTCTACAGCTTTCCACCCAGAAATATATCAGAGATCCCTGAGATAGCTTTGAGAATAAGAGTGTGTGTGTGCATGTGCATACATATATATGGCGCAACGCACCAACAGAGGAGTTATCTTGAAAAAATAGAGCTAAATTTTCACAGTACAGGCTACATATCCTGGGTACAGGACTGCTGATGTGTTTCCATTTAGATAAGTGTACATGTCAGGCTACTGTGTGTATCTCTGGACAGCTCTGTCAGGAGAAGGCATACTGTCTGTTTCCAAATCTCATCATATTATCAGTCCTCATTGCTCTTAAATTGTTAATTATCACTCCCAGGTCTTAAACAGTATTGTTGCTTCACAGGCCTCTCTCCAAGAAAACTATGTCTTTAATCTTGGGTTTTTCAAATTACTATTTAATGTGTTATTTTTTGATCATGCTTCTAATTTCCCTCAGTCTCTTTCTATTGTTTCTCCTCCCTGTGATGTTTATGACCTCTTCTAATTCATTGTCATCCGCAAATTTGCTTGTGTTCCTTTTTGCTGTATTGAAAGGCACTTTTCCTTCCATTTTCCATTTCTGTTTCCGCAAATTGGGATTGAAATTCAGTTTATGTATTCAGATTAATTTCTAAGACAACATCTGTTCTTTACAGCAACAAGTATATCATATCAAAACTAATTAATGTTCAAATCCAAGGCTGAAAGTATATCTACTATATATTAACACAGGAATGTCTTGACACTTCTACAAGCAACACAATGATGTAACACAGATAAAGCAGATATCTTTCTAGCAATTCCTCACAGAGGCAGAAAGTGAGAGAGTGAACATCAGCACACACCTATCAACTTCATAAGATTTCTATGGATTTACCCTTTCTGAGTGTCTAGGCATTTTCCTTCTGAATACTAAAATAATGAACAGCAAAGCAAATAATCTATACCTATTTTACGTGCAGCATAGTAAAGCATATAATAACATCTGGTTTATTCTTAACATGGTTAATTAGAAACAATTAAACAGTATTTTATATCCAGAAGGTAAAATGAAAAAAACTCTGGCCACAAGGAATTACTTTTTGCAGCAAGTCTGTCACAGATAGCATACACTGAGAGAAATTAAGATCTCATTATATCCCTCATTATATTTGTGCAAATCCAGGGCAAAATAGTGAGACTAATTATACAGAATGACACATTCACTGAAGCAACTGTAATTTATTTTGTCCAAGTCCAGAGGTTATCTGTTTATTTTGTTTAATAGGCCTCTTTTTTAATTGAAAAATCACTATTAAAAAACCAAGGAAACTATTTAAAATAATGTTGACATCTAAAGTTTCAATTAAAAAAAATCAGTGATCAGCTCACAGAGGTTACAGGGATGAAACTTTGGATATGTCTTTCACAAATTCTTTCACCTTAAAACATGAAGATGTACTTATGATGGAGATTATTTCTCAAAATTATTAAGGAAACTGATCATAGTATCAAAACGACAAGTTACTAACCTTGTTTGATGCAAGTGAAGTCTATAATCCAGCTTTCATCCCAAAACATCTTTTGTTTCTGATATTCAAACCACTACAAAAATAAATCAAATTCATTCCTGATTAATCCTTACTGTCTTTGAAGGAATTAAACCAGAGATTACTGGGTTTTTCAAACACGAAAGTTTATGAGTATCCAAACAAAATCTGATGTTGAAGCGTCCATCATACGAGTAACATTGCAAACAAGAGTTATTAGAAACAGGCTTAGAAGAAAACAGCATCTAATAAATGTCTTAAAAACCAGTACATTCCTTATTCTTGAATCTAATTACATGTCATAGTACGCATTGGCTACAAACTCTCCCTTATTGTCATTACTTCTTATGCACTGCATTTACCTCTCAGCCTGGACATCAGATGAGTGATCTACATCACCTCATGTCATGGAAATGTCCTATGCTATGTAAGTGCATGTCAAGAACACACTACATCCCAACCCCAAGGTAAGGAGCAGTACATCTTATATCATGTAATAGAATTAGCCTCCAAGCCACAAATGAGATCATATTATGTCAAATATGCTAAAGAATATTAGGTAGGGATTCTGTGGGTATTTTGTAAAGAAGGCATTGCTCTAATAGATGATTTTCTCTAGAGCTGACATGCAAAACTAACATAGAAAGCATAAGCACGTGGTTTCAAAAGAGGAACAGCAGATTGAATTATACAGCTGTTACAGCTGCAGTCAGTGCCAAAATGTCAAACCAGAACAGCATTTTACCATCATTATAGCATTTTCTATAGTGTGGAATTTAATATTAGGAATTATGCATTCATTGAAACAGGTAACAAATGTCCAGATAATACAGAAGGAACACGACTTAGAGATTGTGATGGTGGTTTTGGTAGAAATTTATGACAAATATAGAGATCACTGAATCAAAATTAAGTTGTATCATTTATCTCAAAAGGCTTCTGAGAAAAAATATCTACATTTTATCTTGCAAAGGTACAACTAAAGATATATTAGCTAGAAGTGACCACTGGGCTTGCTACAGAGATTGATATCCAAGGAATCCTCTTCTCTACTTGACTGATTAAAGAAGCCAGATGGTTCTTTTTACTTTATCTTAATTACTGAATTGGACAAAAGGATCTTTCCTATCTTTTTTACTTACCACCTAACTAAAACATGAAAAAAAGAAGATACTATTGCAGAAGTAGTAGGAGTAAGTATACAGAAATGCAAGAAGAAAAAAATAGACCTCAAAACCTACAGAAAAATAGCAGAAATAATAGATAAATTTTGCTACAAGGCCTTTAGATAAACCTATGCAAGGACAAGAAACTCCATTGCTCTTTCTAAAATGTCAATTGTTTAAAACGATCTGAACTGCTAATCTGTCCAATTGCATATTTCTATCAGATTATGTGGTTTTACAGGACACTTACTATGAACACATTGTCACAAATGCCTTGTGGATTGTAAATGCTCAAATAGTTTTCAACAGTGCTTCTGTTCCTAACTCACAAACCCCCACGAAGAAGCACAGAACTGAGAAGAAAACTAATGTGATTCAGGCCTCCTGTAGTACTTTACTCAGTGGGCCATCAGCTTTCTCCTGCTTATTCCCTCTCAGCGCACCTGCCTACCTCAGATGCTCACTGCAACCGCAGTACAAGATGGAAAGAGAAGGAGTCCCTGAGGAAAGAGGAGCCTATTGATTTGCAGGATTTACAGGCCAAAGCCCAAATAAATTATGTTACATACATAGTCAATATAATGACTCTAAAACTGCCATATTCACTCGCTAAATCTTTGTCATGAAATTCAGAAATGTATTTTCTTTCAAGATGCAGACACATAAGGAATATAGATCCTCTTTCCCAGAGGTACTGTGAAGTAATAAGCCATAATAGCATGCTGTCTCCTCTTTATACAGACATTTTCATTCAAAGGCATCCAAAACTACTTCTTTCATATTCATACGCTCCTCTCTCCACATTCCCTTTTTGTTTTTCCTTCATGAGCCTGTTATAATAATTGATTACTATTATACAAAATCAATCACTTTGAACTGAACCAAACTGGTTCATTCACACTAAGAAAATAAACCTATTAAAAAAAACCCCAACAAAACCAAAAATAAAACTGAAAAAAAAAAAAAATAAATATCATCTTCTCATTATTTCTTTTGAGAATATCCCAAGTTCAATGTTTTCCACTACAAGTTGTATTTGGACTCTGAGATTTAATGGCCTCTGGTGGAGCTAATCCCTTTATGAATTTACCTAATTTGTTTTTTAATTCATTTGTACTTCTGGTCTCACAGGGTTTTGAAGCAGTTAATTTCAGAACCGGGTTTTATTCTGAGTGAAAAGTAGTCTTACTTTACTGGCACCCCCCAGTTCCCATGCTGTGAAAAACATCTTCTTCCTTTACCACTATATATCCATCCCTCTTGTTACATTCCTCTTCAGTCTTCTGTCTTACAGGATGAAAATTCCTAGCCCAATGAGCCTTCCCTCATAAAGAGGCCAAAAAGGCTCTCTACTTTCCTTCTGCTTTCTTCCATAGCACACAGATTCTGGATGCAGAAGAAAATTTATCGCTCTACTAACAGAGCCCTACTCTAACTAACCAAATCATGGAAGTAAGAGAAAGGAAACAGGAGAAAGGATACTTACCATGACTGTCAAAATGAAGCCAGTGCAGACTAAACATATTGGTAAGACAATTGCTATCCTAGCACCAGCAGACAATGGGCATTCCCCACAATCTGCTGGACAGATAGAGCAGCCTTCTTCTTCCTCACAAAAGCCATCTCCACAGACTGATTAGAAAAGGAAACACATATCAGAATATTTTAAGGCAGTTTCATCCATTCACAATGTTGTATTCAGATTTAAACACATGGTTCTTGAGCTGGGAAACCTAAGAGTACCAGAAAGAATAAATTTTGAAGAATCCAGAGGTAGGACCCTGGCAGCTGAAAGAAAAATCTGAATTTTTACAGTTATACAGGATCTCTCTGATCAGATTAAATTGTTAATGACATCAGAGCCTTTGACATGTTTTGTGTATAAATCACTTCATCACTACTCTGTTTCTCATTGTCCATCTGTTTTTTTCTGAGAATTAAAGTTCCTCAAGGCAGGAATTGTCTTTTGCATTCTTTGTACTTAATCCAGCCCTTGAGATTCCCAGGAGCCTGTGACCCTTCCTCAGCAGCAGCAGCAGACATTCTGCGTACTGCAGAATGAAACCCTGCAACCTGTACTTCAAGGATTTCTTTTTCTTCAAGGTCTTATGAAAATTATCAGCAGTATCAGATTTAAAACAAAAGCCGTAAAGGACAAAACTCCTTCTCCCATGTCCTGAATAGTGTTTCAATTTTACCTCTATGACTAAACTAATACCATGGTGTACTTCAGCCTCTGTTCAGCTGAAGATATTATTCTGTCACTATGTAATATATTTTTTAAAAAAAGCCTTAACAAAACAAAATGCAGGGCTCAGTAATATTTCTGCCTCATTCCATTTAATTCCAGTATAATATCAGGATAATCACAGAAGTCACTTTCTGCCTCAGAGGTAGAGCTGCATTTTTAAAATTTCTTTTCAGATAAATTGTAGGTTTCCTGGAAAACTCATCTGCAGCTGTCTTGAAATGAATAGCAAGTTCTTTAGTTAAATACATCCACTCACAAGGAAGTTGCTTTGGTTCTTGGTTTGGTTTGGTTTGGCTTTTTTCTTAATATTGGGAAATCTATTCTCAAACTTCCAGAAGAATAGCTAACAAGACTACTGTGATGACATCCTTATTTTACCCAATATTTTTCTTCAGATTGTGTGTTTAATTTATTAAATAAAGTCCATTTAAAAAATTTTACATTGCTAAGATAATTGTTATGGCTATTTCTGTTCGCTGCATACAGCTGTACTAAAGTGAATGAAAGGCTGATGCCTTTGGCAGCAATTGAATTTTAATGTGAACAAGGGAACCAAGAAGGGTTTCTACCTTTCCAATATGCTTAAGGCTAGTCTGGTCCCCTTCAGATGAAGAGTGTCCAGATCCTCACAATATGCTAGCTGGAAGAATATTTTCACATCCCTATCAACTGCAGGAAAGCCTTGTAGTATCTGAAGCCGTTGATCATGGTATTTGGCTTTACCTATTTGATAAGAGTGTCTTCCTGCTGTTCTAGATTCATACACAGGTTAGAAGCTCAAACATTTTTTCAGATCTTCAGTGTTATATGAAGAAGAATTTTAGGAAGACTTTTGTGTATTTTCAATGAAAAGGCAGGGTATGAGTTCCTTTACTCTTGTTAACTATGCATGAATGATAAAAGCATTGAGATTTGCAGTCAATAAGCAGTCCCCTCACATCATCATTTTATATCATACCTACTGCAGGAAGGACTGTGGTTTTTGCTTCCAGAGCAACTTGCATTCTCCCAACTCTGATGTGTGCGATGAGAGAAGTCACACCCACATGAACTAAAACAACCTGCCAAACAAGTAAACAAAGCAGCAAGCATCAAAACTTCACTCGCATGTAGTAGGCTATTATAATAACAATTGTCCAGTCATGGTGTCTTGCAAAAAAATTTGTGCATTTTTTCAGAATGAGGAAGGACAGGTGTCCTTGATTGGAGAAACAAACAGAAGCAAGAGAGATAACTTTTGTGGGAAGGCAGGTCTGATTCCCTTTCTGGTGTGTATTCTTTTCACCGAGCAGGGCTATTAGCCTATGCATTCTGCCATGTTCGCATCCCTATTACTTCTGCTGGGCAGAAGCCCCCTAATGACCATATTAACCTGCAAGACAGTCCAGTCAGTAACGCAGTATATTGTTAGTGTAGGCCTTAAAAGGATAGATTAGGCTATCCTCTTCCCTCCCATCCCCATTACTTCTACTAACTACCTAAGGAGTAGTAGTGTGAAAAGCTGTTACTTTCAAGTCAAGTCAAGTCAAGGGAATTGTTATTACTCAGCCATATGCATCACTTACACACATAACACTGACAAATAAATGAGATGGGGAACATGTACATGAACCACACTAAACTATTAGCAAGTAAGCTCTGAAAAGAGCACACCAGTTAAAGTCCTCTATCCAATAAATACACCTTACCTTAGCAGTCCAGTTTCTTTGGCTTATTTTGCCAGCTGTAGACAAAGTGTGAGTAAATATCTGGCCATCATCTGGGATCCACGGACCACATATTCCTCCTCTACCCTTTATCAGACATATTGGTTATGTCAGTAAACCACAGCACAATGAAAATCCTAGCTCCTCCTCTTTTACTTTCTTAAAATGACTTGTATTCTCTAACAGCAAATAAAGCAATGTTTTATAACCAAATCTATTAAAATGCTGAAACACAACCACAACTGTTCTGTGGAAAAATAAAGGATAAAATAAGAGAGAAGCAATTGTTCCTATACTGAGTTAAAATCTCACAAATGTTATTTAATACACACGAGCCAAAATGTGGTCCCAAATTTTAACTTCAGTAATCTATCAAGTTAATACACTTTTTCAGAATTCACCATATTAGAAACAGAAACAGAATTGTATTCCACTTCTTTTATTTTTCTAAAGGGATTTTACTGCAGTTTCACTTTTGATAGAGCAGCTTTTTTTTTTTTTTCTTTAATAAGGGAGGAAGGGATCTCTTCTGTGCCTGTTTGCAGAGCATTTCTCAGTAAAGCTGTTCAAGATGTAAACCTCCCAGCAATTGCAGCCACAGAGGATTATTTTGGCTGTCTGAAGATCTTGCGGTTTTTTGTTTATTTGGAAGGATTAAGTCTGTTTATTAACTCCAGATATTTCTTCAGGCACTTCCTTCAATGCACTGTAAGATATAGCCCCAGTCAAAAGAAATGGAGTTCATGTTAACTAAGCTAAGGTGTTCTAAAAGTCATGACACTGCAAAAAAAAACACCCAACAAAACATCCTCTCAAATAATGGAAAAAGCTTGCTTTGAAGTGTAAGTTCAATCTTATGCAATGATACTAACAGCCTTCTTTCTGTATGACGGCCAACCTGCTTAGACTTCTTCTAAGCAGGAACTGAAATATTTACAGTATTACAAGGAAGTCAGATGATGCACGTTGGCTACATGCTTTCACCTTTTCTGCATCTTAATTCCAAGCAGAACGAATTGTGAAAGTAAGAAATAATGGAGAGGTCACCACAGTGGTGGGATGTTGAAGTTCTTTACTATGGTTCTACACAAAAGTTTTGATGTGAAGGTTCCAGCAAGGATTCCTCTTTTAAACAAAAGGCCTGGTATCAGCTAAGCCCCCCAGGGAGTCATTAATAAAACAGGTTCTTAAGAAGGGATTGCCAAGAAGTAAGCTAGAGCTCTTGGGGAGACATTAAGCCTTCACACAGAACAGTACATGAAATAGCTGCAAGAGGAGTATAGACTAGATTTTCTATTACACCATCTTTGATCACAAAGAATGTGTCAGATTGCCAGAAGGGGGATCAACTAGAAAGACTGGGCAACTGCATGAAGTTTATTGTGCAAGGTAAGGCTTACCTCACAGACAAAAAAAGAAAAAAAAATGTGTCCCAAACTGTATTGTTAGAATCAGAACTCTAAATATTCATACAAAGACAGACAGGCTGTTACAATGAGACAAGCAGACAAGTTAAGAATGGACCCTGCCTACATTGCATGAACAAATTTTGTTATCCTGTAATTGGATTCCTTTTTTCTTTTCTCTGATCTAATACAGAAAAATCATTCCATCTCAGCATATGTGTATACACGCTTTGTTCTACAAGTCACAGCCAGTGATACTCACTCCACCCACTTTCAGTAATTCAAGCAAATCATTCAAGGTCCCTCTATAAGTTGCAGAGATTCCACCTGGCATTTCGCCCTGATTGCTTTAGAATGAAATGATCTGTCTTTATTTCTCTATTGACTGTTCAGAGATCTGACTGAAGTAATACTAAAGAGATGAAACTGGCCCAAATATACATAATGAGAGATTCTGAATACTGCCTTGTCCAAAAACCCAGCCATTTGCTTTGCAGCCTCAGCATCCAGTGGAAAAAAATCTAAAAATGGCAGATATCCCCACAGTGGTTTAAGTGAACTATAGATTTGGTCTCTTTGTAATCACAGAAAGACCTCATAAACTTGAACCTGGTTATTACAATGCTGTCTCATCCCGTAGCAAGAACAGAGCACATGGTGCTGCACTGTTATACTAACCATGAAGGCCAAAGGACAGGAGTGAATGTTGGCATGGTAGACACAGCAGTTCTCTCCATTTGCATCTTTCCAGCTGGCAGGGCATTCATGCTTCTCACAGAATTCCTTTGCAGCAGTAGCATTGCTAGCCAACCAGCAGAGAGAGAGAGAAACTTTATATTTATTCTTCATTCCTCAAAATTGCAACAAGCATATGAGAGCTTATTCTTTATTCTGCACATAAAAATTAGCAGCAAAAACATATGCAGTGAAATAAACACTGTTACATCATATCTTTCTTTTTTGTTTTGCTTCTGATTGAAGCACTACTACAGCAATGAAGATTGCTGTCAACCAGACCACTGTCTACTGCCATGCAGTAGGGACTTCTAGCAGATACTATGCCACAAGAAGGCAGCAACCTCCACTTCTCTCCTGAGACTGACTTCATGAGCAGCTGGGATTACTTGGCACTGCTACACCTAGGACACAAAAAGATACCACTACTCTACTTCCACTATCAGAAATATGTGTCCCTGACTACTTCCGTTCTCAGTGTTTTCAATTATATACTTTCATCTACGCGTGTGATTCATACTTATCATCCAGCTCCAATCTTTGCTCTGCAACCCAAACAGCCAAGGAAAATAATTATATTGGACAATAGTATCAGATGCAATTCCACAAAACAAAAGTTTAGAGCAAAAAGTGGACTTTATGAATAGACTGTTTGGCAAAACAAGGTGGGCCTTTTGAAAGTCTGTCCCTGAAAGACAAATGTAGTTACCTGGAAATGTGTGATGCAACACCTCTCCCCACTGTTTCCTTAGTTACACTTTCAGTTGATTACTACCCAAATAAATATGGCTTTAAATTAAAATCATTTTCTGCCTAATTCCATCAGACACTTGTCTTTATGGAAGCTTTTAAAAATTTATCCTGTATTCTGTAACTTTTATTCAATATCTTCATCATGGCTTCACCCAATTATGCTGATGCCCATACATTGGCTTGCCATGTTTGGGTCAGCCACTGTAAGCTTAAGAGTCAACCAGATAGTCTTCTAGTTAAAATGAGGTGCAAACTTGATCCCTTTGAAAAACTGCAGCATAGATTTCTCTCTTCTTAAATATTCACCATCTGCCTCTATGTGCAACATATGTATAAGTACACAAAAAGCAGAATTTTCCAGATTCCTCACTGATTTAAGGCAGTGGGTCCCCCTGGAAAGACTAGAAAAACTGCTTCATTCCCAAGCACGGAAAAAACTTGCTTTATGATTACTAGGCATAAATTTCAGAAAATGTGATAAACAAATTTTGCAAAACTGTGTAACTGTGGTACACAGATGATCAAAATACAATATCAACTTTTTGCCATTGTAAAAAGTTACAGGGTTATAGATCATCTTTCAATATGAAAAAAAAAAAATCTCTGGATAACAGCTTTTACAATCTGAACTTTGCAATGTGAACACTCAGACTGGCAGAGAAAAATGTGAGGTTTTCCATAAACATCTCTTTCACCAAGTACAGCACAGGAAGTGGGGAAATACAGCTGCAGCCTTTGCCGCAGACATTGTTGTATACGGATGAAGAATTGCTATGTACAGATGAAAGTGTACAATAAAGGTGTATTAGCCTTTTAATGATCTGGAGTTGTATACATAAACATTCTGTATTTAATCTCTGTTGTCTACAGTTACCAACACAGTCTCTGAGTTGATATATAAGCTTTTGGACTTATTTAAATCCCACGGAAATCAAAAGAAGTTCATCACTGAATTCAGTGGATTCAGGGTTGGGCCAGCCTCTTTTTCATATCCATGTTGTGCACTTCAAACACACTTATGATTAAAATGACACAGTTAGTCTGGGACGCGTGCTTAAACTTCAGCTGTGAATTCCTTGTGTAAAGAAGGTGAGAAGTGATGTTCAGAATTGCACTGAGACAGTAATGCAGATACAGGGTGACATGCCCTATCCTTGACCATGCGAGCAGGCATGCCATGATGGCTGCTCTGAGAGCAAAGCTGTTGCAGAGGAGAAAATATCAGGGCACACAGAGCTATAAGACACCTCAAGAGATGCAAGAAATTAGCAAGGAGCCCCAGAATATGTGTTCCAATTATGTTACTGAAAATGTTCACACAGAATCCCCATAATCTCATAACCATGAAACAATTTTTATAGGTGATAATACCTGTGAGAAAGGATTCCATTTTGCACTGCATATTGATAAAAGTTGTCTGAAGCAAAGACTGCATAGGTTACGTTGAAGAATTCCCCACTGACAGCCTTTTCTGGAGGTCTTTGCACCCATGCCATCTCCAGGCCTAGAAACAACACAATCATGGACCAATGTATGTGCTATACTTTTCTACTTTACAGATGCATATAAATGTAAAACTTTCTCTGGAGTGATTTTCATCTATTGTTCCTATTGCTTTTTGTGAGCCCAAAACAGTCATCCATTTTAGTGCCTGTACAGGTAAACACAAATGCACAATAACTGAACAATTCTGATACTCACTTAGAAAAGATCAAGCAATTGGAGAAATACAACAAAAAACCTGGTCATACAAAATAAAGTAACTTCATTCCCAGCATAATGCAGTGCTGCTTGTCCTGATACACTTGCTTTCCTCTTTGATCAGGTAATAAACATCGCTCTTCATTCTTGGCTGCTTTCACTGAGGCACATCTCATTATGGAAGAAGAACAGACAACTCTAGCACACATGAAATTCTGCCAAAACTCTTAACCTCATGAGATATAAATTATATATACTAATAATTATACATTTAAGAAAGTATTTTCATTTTATAAAACCATGTCACATCTTGAACAGAAGACAGTGGAAGGAGTGCTACTCAGATATCTGTCATTTTCCATTTCCACACTCTTACTGGGAAAGATGATTTATTCCAGCCATCTCTGCTGTCCCTGGGACACCTTATCACCTGCTCTGAGCCTGGGAATGAACTGAGATAAGAGGGGGCAGAAGTTTTTAATCCATATTCTTAAACAACACTACCAAAATCTTGCCACTCCATTCACCTTCCTCTTTCCATATTGTTACATGAAGGTTTTAATTTGCACCACATCAAATCACTTACATCATCAAGTGTGTAGCTCTATGTTTGTCAGGAAGTTTTAAATCCCTTCTGCAGATGATGGGTAAACCTGCCTTTCAAGAGATCCTCACATTTTTGTTGTTGTTGCTCAGTTATAAACTCTTTCATTACTCTGGAGTTGTTTTTACAAGTGTATTCTTCACTTGCACTGTTAGTGAAGCTGCTGGTTTTTCCCCTAAACATAATTCCCTTTCAGATATAAAGAAGTAATTGTAAAATAACCTCTTGATTTCAAATATATCTTGAAAAGTAAAAACTCATTATAAATGCTAACACTAAGAGAAACTACAACACAAAGATTTACAAAAAAATGCTAGTGTGATTTGCACTAAAAGGTAAGAGAGAGCTGAGCTTCAGAGAATGTGTGAGAATGAAGGCAAAAGGTCAGCATAAATTTCAGTTAAATTACTTTCTACTTCCCTTTAAAGGTCTCACAAAGATAAATGAAACTCTTCTTTCAACAACAGACACTCCAACATCTAAATGCTTTGAAGATCTTGTGTTAAACTCACAGCAATGAGGCTACAGTATATGCCTCTTGCTTTGCTTTTAGCAGTGCCCAGAAGATGACAGAAGAACCATAGAGAAAGCAGGATAGAGCTTGGAGTTCATTCTAAAACTGGTTGGAAAGGATATATGTTAATTAAGCAACCTACTCATATTAGCTTCCCTTGTACTCAGTTCACACTTTGATTATTAGCAAGAATAATTTTAAACAAGTCATCTGATCTGATAAATAGTTGTTTTAATGTTAAAGCAATAGTAAATTCATACAGGGATAAAAATCATAGTTGACAAACATCTAGACAGTCTTTGAATTTCACTGTTCCAATGGAACTCTTCGGAAAATGTTTAACTGGAACACTGAGCTCAGAGTGTAACCCAGCAGTATATTTCCTGGAGTGTTTAATCAGTATGAGTTTCTCAGGTGTTCTTGTTTTTTCTAAAACCCCTATTGAAACATATTGGCTCTGGTCTTACCTTTTACAACATAAACAAAAGTGTTCCTTTACATCAGTTATTTATCAGTTACAGAGTCACAAAATCACAGTCAGTTGAAATCGGAAGGCACCTCTGGAAATCATTCAGTCCAACTCTGTTGTTCAAGGCAGGGTCACCTAAAGCACGTCGCTCTAGATTTTATCTATATGGGTTTCAAAAATCTCTAAGGAGGAAGAAACCACAACTTTCTACTGTTTGATCACCATTACAGTACAAAAGATGTTTCTTCTATTTAAATTGAATTTTCCGTATTTCAGTTGCTGTTATTTGCTGTTCAATCTCAAACAATCAATTTCCAACATAAAAAAATATTCTATTTTTTATTATCATGTAAATTTGATTTTGAAATTGACTGGACTAAGTAGTTAAAGATCTCAGATTTTTTTTAATTTCTCATGGAACACAGTTTTGTGCAAGGTGGAAAAGCATGATGTGTAGAATCAGTGATTTTGCTTACTGGCTTGAGTGTTTAAACACAGACCACTTTTGAACCGACACTACAAAATCTCAGCAATGCAGAGCTGCATGCCTGATTTGTTTGGATTAAGTTGCATTTGGTTTTCTAATAGAAATAAAATGTTTTCAGTTTCTTTCTGGGGGAAGGGATTCAGCTGTTGCTATTACTTTTTCTTTTGAAAACTGGACAAATATTTGCTCTGAAGTATCTTTTGGTGTCTTTCACTTATTTCTCTAGAGAGGTTGTCACTGATTCAGATGCTTTCCACCATGTGTAACATTCGTCATGACTGGTATTGTTCTGAGCACTTCAATTTTGAGTTCTCAACCATTCCTCAAGGAAGAGGTGATCTTTCTTGTGAAGCTTTAGGACTCACTCACCTCCACAGTCCAGCATGTTATACTCATCTGGTTTATCCAGGGGCCAACAGTCATAGTCTTTGTTATCTAAATCATGCCATCCCTCCACTAATATCACCTGCTAGAAAAAAAAGCATATGAATAGACTCCAAAAAAGACAGTAAGAGAACAGAGGAAGGATGAGTTCTGTTTCCAAAATTATGTTTCTTGTAAAGAAATAAAACCAAATGCAGAAACATAGCATGGCATATTTCGCTCTCTTCAACTTCTGGAGCAAAAAATGACAGCTTCCTAGGGGTATAAAAACTCAATCAGTATATTATTTTGATCTGTCCAGAAATTAGCCATGGAACAATAAGGGGACTTACCCTTCTCTTGCAGAAGGTTTTCTCTACAAAGAGCAGGTGGCTCTAGGACCATATGCAGAGAGACATTTGATTTAAAGAGTCTTTTTGTTTGCTTTTAAAATGGCAGCCCCCCTGCTCCAAACTGCTCCATTTCTTTTAATGTTTTACACCTAAACTCCTTGAATAAGTAATTTTTGTTACACTTTTACTAACACAATACAACTGTTAATTATATAAAAGTTAAAATACATAATTATAGAGAATATTAAGATTGCATAAGCCTATTACAGGTAGAATACAGCATCATAATAGCATACAGATTGAACTGCAACAGTAGCAGAATACATACATTATACCTGTATGTATGTTATATATCATAATGAATATATTAATCATGTATTAAAATATACACTCTAGGGTATATATGAACAGAACAGAATATGTTATGATAACGCACCATGGTCTAATTCCACTTCTAGTAAAAGATAATACTTTCTATTCATATAATCTACTATTATTTTTCTATATATTATTGGAGGATAATCACCTACTGATTATACAATTACTCATCACAGTATTCATGGAATAAGACAGAATGATACAACTGATTTTTCCAATATATTCTCCTGTTACTTTTGTTTTCTACATGACTAAAATAACATTCAACAATTGCCTGGTATAAATAGCTGTCTTATTGCAGTAAGCCATATACAGTTCGTTCCGCATGCACAGACCACAGAAATGCAAGTGGATCTATGTAGTTTACCTACCAATAAACTGAGGAGGCTTCGGAGCCCTAAGACTGGTGTTTTGACAGCTCTCATGCTCCCTAACATGCACCCAGCTCACCAAGTATCAGGGCTGCTTCTGATGTTGCTGTTGCTACTGAATTAGATGCCCTTGCCTAAGAAGGGGTGTTGCTAGGCACGCTGGTCCTGGCAACTCCAGCTGCTGCAGCTGTTCTGCCTCCTCCTTCCCTCTTCTCACCTACCCCACTTCTTCTCGGTTCAGGGTGGAAACATCCCTCTGCACCTCTGTTGAACCTCTCTGAAAAATCATCACTTGTCTTAGGGGCAGCTCTGCTCTCAGACCATTGAAGTTTGTGCCCCTGTCAGCTCAAAGCTGGAAAAGCAACCGGAGGATTTTATGTCACTGCCTTGTCGAACTCGGGCAGCATCTGATCCTTAGGCAGATTAATCGATACTGTGGAAATAAAAACAGAGACATAGCTGGGCCTGCGGGAGGAGAGATGTGTAAACTCCATGGCAAGAAAAGGTCACCTATGTAAGAAAAACTGTTAAGACTAGAGGTTGGACTAGATGATCCCCTGAGGTTCCTTCCAACCGGAATTGTATTACACCCTACGACTTCAATTTTTCAGTCCCTGGTGTACAACAGCTTCTACCTGGGAATTGTCCTGCTACATGCACAGGTGAAACAGACCTCTGCCTAGCCATGCTGGTAACATAAAGACATGGATGGGACCATGACCATTTCTGTCTGCTGAAGTCACTGCCAATACAGAACTTCAGTTGTGGTTCAGCTCTCATGAATATTTCTGTGTGTTTTCTCTGGAATTCTGGCTTTCAGCCCAAACTGACATTAAGGATCTTATTCAAAATGCTTGGACTTCACTATTTATTGCATCAAATTTGCATGAAAAAAATGCAACGTGTGTCCACTTCAACTTGAAAGGGGTTGTAGATCAATTAAAAAATCTGTTTGGAGTTATTCATAAAAGAGATATTTGTATAAACTAATATAAACATTTTAGGTTGGAATTTTATGTTTGTAATGAAATCCTAAACCTCATTTCTGTTGTGTCTTCCTGTGCTTCACTATGACCACTTCACCCAAATCATAGGTTTCAATATATGGAAGCTTTTAGACTCTTTCAGCTTGGCTACATGGTAGAAAGAGAAAAGAAAAAAATTGCCTTTTTTGGGGTAGAATTATCTGCTTAAAGGAACTCTTCATATAGTAACATCTTGGAGAGGTTTTACTGGTGATTTTTTTAGGGTATCTTGTGCTTAAGGAGGAATTTGCTGGCAGGGAAGCTAAGGATTACGACTTGTTACACCCTTCAGCAGCCAAAAGATTATCAGACTGATCCTATTTTCTTTAATAGCGCTGTCAAATATTCACATGACATTAATATCATGATTCAAGGACTGTAAAGATCATACATTACCTTTATAGATACTTGTCTATCACCAAGTTCAGAATTCCTGGAGAGTGGCCAAATACAAGTCTCGGAATCCTGAATTAAAGATGGACTGATCAGAATGGCTGGTGATGATCTGATTTAACAATCTATCCCAGCTATTTAAGAAGCACATTACCACCTCTGCATTTAAGCACTGGAAATTCTAAAAAGAAACCAGTGAGGACTATTTTGCAATATAAATATATGAACCTTGGTAAAAAGAAACAATTGACAGCTTAATGAGTAATGTATTCTTCAGGTCTATCTAAAACTCCCTCTATAAAGGAAATCAGAAACAGACTTGAATAAACTGAGATGGTCATCTCAAACCTAATGCTCTTCGCTTTACTTGTGCTCATTTTTCTGTTTGTAAATTATGTACAGTCACATAATTTGCATTAACATCTTACATTGGATCATACTATGAATGAGTTTATTAACACAGTCAGATTCAGTCTAGCATAGATTAACTGAATTCTGCCTACTGCCACTTGACTGACTTCGTGAAATAACAGTTCTTTGGCTTTTCTTAGAAGGATCTCTTAATCTGAAAAAAATAGGTAATTTCTGATTGAAATTACGTTTATCAAATAACTTAATGTTTACAAATTTATTTCTGTTGTCTTGGCTGTCCTCAGATGCTACCTTAAGCTACAACATTTCCATTTCATTCGTTAACTCAATAATAACTTCTACTACTGAACAGAGGGAAAATAAAGATATTTCAAAGTTTTATAGGCAACATCCCTGTAGATATTGGTTAAAACATACACTTTTGTTAACGTTTTGACAATAATCTTACAACTAAAATGTAAATATGCAATATTTGTAGAAAATAATAACAATGGTTACATATTGCTGAATGCAACTTGCCAATTATGTGCTTTCAAGTGTGTTAGGAAAGCCATTTCCAGAAACATACTGAAACAAAAATTACTGTGATGAAAGTTTAAAATATCCTCGAAAATATTTGTCTGTTCTGGCATTCAAACTTTCCATATGGTTCTTGTCTTGATAACAAGCTGAAATAGAGATATTTAAACTACTTCATTTTTAGATTAAGTTCTCTAGCAAGACACTTAGTTTTAACGAAAAATAATCAAAAAAATTACTGCTGCGGCTCATTTGACATTTCAAAATTCTGGCATTCCAGAGATACCATTTATCAGAACTGTGTTGTTATTTGTGAAATCAGTAGTTAAAACTTAAGTTCTTGAAAGAACACTATGCAGAGTATGTTCATCCTGCACGTGGGTTGGCATCCTGCTCAATGCTACACCACCCCGGACTCCTAGAATCTAAAGGGACTTCAGATTATATAACCTATTCTCCTTTTATAGTGTTAGCTCAAATAAAAAGCATTTTAAATGACACAGAATCTGAGTGCCTTTCTTACAGTCTGTGTGCCTTTCTTACTGGGATCGTAGCAGACTAGCAAAGCTTCCGATAGTCACCGTGTTTGCAGGGCCGGTGAGCGGGCATGGCCAGTACTCTGACACTCCCCTCTAGTGGTTTCATTGCAGAACAACGGCAGGCAGATTCCCTCCTGTGAGCAGTTTGGTTCAAGGATGGCCTCCCCTCGATGCACAAGCTGCCACAACTAGCGTACCCAGCAGCAGTGCAGCAGAGAACCTGCCTGATCTCAGGTTCTCACCTGGGAGTTTGGTGGCAGCAGCTGGTGGCCTTCTACCCCTTCCCTTCCAAACAGCAGAGTGATGCACTGGACAGCCACAAGAAATTCCTAGGGCTCTGGCCTATGGCCATGTTACCACAGCACAGCTAGTGATCACACCTCCACCAGGTCACCACAACCATTTGTTTACACATTTTTAACCTAGAAAAAGTGCTTTGCTGTCCTGTGTAATGCAGCCCCACAGACAAAGGATATTGATCTGATCTTGTAATTTCACACTGACACAAACAAGTATGTATGTCAAAAGAGGTCTTCAAGCGTGGGCTTCTTGTGTGCTCTCCCCGCAGTGCTGGTGCTCCTGTGTGTTCACGTGGTTCAGTGAGACTCAGACTTCAGCTGAGCCTAGATTAGCAAGGTTAAAAGACACCACTTGACTTTCTCCAGAATTCTTGGCGATTTAATTAAAAGACTAAACATTGTCATGAAGTTTGTAGTAGATCAGTAGCTTTAGAAGTACTGAGTGCCCTCAATTTGCTGGAAGTGCTGAACAAGCAACAGGTGTGGGTCTGGTGAAATGCTGGAGAGCTGTAAGCAAGCTCCTGAGCCTTGCATTCACACACACCATCCCTTAACTTTGTAGTATCTCTCCATTTCTCTCACACACTCTCCCAATTATTGGAAGTTTGAGAGAATTCCTAAGAAAGAGGCCTCGGGCTAAAAGAATGGTGATCATAAAAAAAAAGTAATGATATATTTGTCACTAAAGATCTCAAACATTAGATGATTAATCTTTGATGACAGTTTAACTCAATTGCAGCAGAAGGAGCAAACGGTTACATAGTTCGCACAAAGGAACAGAGTTGGGAGGCAGTATGAAAGCATGGAAGATCAGAGAGTTTTGTAAAAAGGTAATTACAGACATTGAAAACTATAGCTAAGAAACTGCTTCATCTCACTACCACCCATGATGTTATACATACCTCACAAACTCACAGAAACCTCAAAAATGCAAAAGGTACTCATTGGTAAGTCTTCACTGGACTCTCAAGTTACCGGGAATGCTGAACAATTTTATGCTTTTACAGATGCATTCCTCAGGTCCACCGTAGTTCATGGGGCATCACAAGATGGCTTGTTCTGTTGCTGCACTTTGGGTTTGATCTGCAGCTTAAGATCTCAAGCTTAAAAACAAACTTGAACACTTAATTAATTTCAAAAATGTTTGAAAATGCATCAAAACTTGAAACAAAAGTATCATGTATACTGTCTGCAGGTTGTATGAAGACTGTCACCTGGAATACGCCACAGACTTGTGGAAGAAATATTTCTGTTTAAGAATATGAACTATTTTCTGTTTAGAGGATTGACCACTACATAACCTGTTGTGGAAGGAAAGCAACATTCCATCATTTTCATCATGTAATGCAATCTGTAAATTGTCTTCTTCTAAAGAGAAGGTGGAAAGAATGACATCTTGAATTTTGCAAGGAGAATACTCACAGCTAGAAAAATAACAGGTAACAGTGATTATCTCTCTAGTTGAAAATGCTGTTGGTCTTAATAATTTGATATAACATACGACTGAAAATATCTAGTGACTGGATAAGAAAAGTTGAACTCACAGTTCTCAGAGAAGATAACAGGAACTTCACTTTCAAATTGATTCAGGTTAACCTTCAGAAAATCCTAGCTGAAGTATATAACTTAAAAGAGATTTCTGCATCAAGGGATTTGCTTGAATAAATATTGGGTTTCTGTTACTATAATGCAGCATGTCAATGCTATAGTTGTTCAAAGGGCATTCATCAAGTCTGAGAATGTGAGAATAAAATTCAATTTGATAGGATGACTGCCTGAGAGGCTTAAGAAGAGCTGGTCCCAGTTCAGCACAGAGTAATATGAGTTTTCTGTTTAGGAAGAAACTGAGCCAAACATCACTGATGTTCTCAAACGCCTCCCATCTTTCAGTCCTCCCACACAGGCAGAAATGTTATAAATTTTTGCAGTGCTTAAGATCAGCAAACTGGGCTGCTCTTAAGATCTACTGTGGAGGATCTGGGTGTCAGCGAGAGATGGCAGCTGCAGGACATTTCTGTTCTTATCTGCGTCATGCTCCTAAGATCCACTGGTCACTCCATCAGTTGTAGTGGCATTCAGCTGAAACCTGCATTTTGCCTCAATGGGTTCTTCCTCTCTTCCTCACCTCTCACTGCATGATTCATTTATGTTTTCAGAATTCTTGAATGATTTTCTGCCCATATTTTCATGCACACTAGCACTGCACATTTATTGACATTGCACATACTCTTTCTCGCTCCAAAAACACATCCTCATAAGCCACAATTGCTTCCACATTTCTAGGGTCTCATGTGATCAGGAATTCCTAAGAGACACTGAGAGGTCACTGAGACAGGAGGTCTCTTGACCTTTTGTAACTGAGGGATCATTTAGCCTTTTGGATCATCTCTGTGGACCAGCCCTAAAATGAAACAGAAGTCCAAACTGTTCCCTTTCTTCAAGTCGTGGACATTTCTGCATACGTCAGGCTAGATAAATGTTTGCCTAGCCTGTTTTTAATGACCTTCAGTAGTGAGCCTCTCCCACTTCCTTTGTGGTGTAGTCCAGTGCTTCATTACCTTTTCTTGTTAGAAAGTTTTCTCTGTGGTCCCACCTGCTTCTATCTTGCTATTGTTTCAGCTCAGTACTTATCCCAGCTACACAGAGAAGAGTTAGCATGTTCTGTAATTTTTACATGCTTGAAGTCTCTTCCATTCTGGCTGTTGCTAGTTACTATGTATCAAGATACCATACAGAAATATATTCCCACACTTCTTCACAAGGAAAAAGGATTATCCTAGTTTCAGAAACACAACAGAGAAATAAAGAGTGAGTAAAGAAAATGTGTTGAGTCTAAGCAGTACAGATATTTCAACAGTGGGAATAAACACTTTCTCCTTGGACCTTTGGATGCAAACAAGTGATCCCAAATGCAGCCCAGATCATAATCACGAGACCACTCTCATACTGTAATCAAAATAAATGTCACATTTCCAGAAAGAAGTGAAAAACAGACTTTAACATCCCAGTCTTTCTGCTGATGGAGGCGTTGTCTCAATGAGCTTTTTAAATCTGCCTCAAGTGGAGTGAACTTGGTGAACGTCCAGTTTGGCATTATGCCATTTTTAGATTGTTTTGTGACTGACTAGCTGTCAGAACTAGTCTAGTGGGAGAAGCTGAGGATTTTCAGATGCTACTGAACCTGAAAAGATTTCTCTGCCATTCAGGATTCTCTGGTTCTTTGGGTACATTACTTTCTCTGCTGAAGAGATGCCTTCCTTCTGTCAGAAAACACTGGGGAGCCAGCAACTACTTTTCCTGTCATCTTTAGCACCCAGAGATCAATCTGCCATTTGCACTGTAGCTTTGATACAAGGAACAGTGGCTCAAATGCTGACAGAGAAGAAGAGACAGAAGAGAAAGAGTTTTGAAATCGAAACCCAAATGCTTGAAGTGATGACTTACCTGTTGAGATAAAATAAGGTATCCTTTTGTAGCCACATGCAACTATCATCTGATACAGAGCTCAGCCTCACTTTGACCAAAATCCCTGGCACACCTCTTGGCTTATTCCAGTGATACACCAGCCCCAGAATGGAGAACTTGAGAACACACTGTTAGGAGAAACATAGGCATAGTAAGTCAGTATTTGTAAAGAGGATTTTTATTTTCCATTATTTCACTTTTGTATTGCCTCGGGCTACTAGCTAATCAGCTTTTTCTTATCTTTTGATATCTCTCTCCCTTCAGAAAGCACTCTCCAGAGTGATATCCAAAATGGTTTCTAATGTAGTCTGGTTAACAAGAAGCATGGGGTGTCAGTGTGATTCTGCCATGAAGTATTTCATTGCTCTGCTCTGACAAATATTAGTAACTAAGTTGAGCTGTGCCTTCTTGTCTTACACTTCCCTCCAAACCTCCACTTCCCTTATAATTTAATTTCTACTTAATAATTCCTTGGTTTTTAAACTTCCAAAAGCAGGAGATTCTCAAAAGCATAAACAGCAGCCAGAGGTCTGATGCCCACTGAATCTCCCCATGGTTTACTGCCGCTTATTTCTTGGGAAAATTCTCCCCTATTTTTTGTGAAAGTATGTGTACAGTGAGTAATAAAAGGAAACACTCACAATGCTGACACAGGGTATCAGGACCCTGAGCATACCTCTCTCTCCTGGAAGCTATGCTGCCTGGTCTCAGGGCTAACTGATAGTGCAACTCTCCAGCCTTAGAGCTATGTGAGGGACAGCTGCCCAAGAAGCCCTTGCAGGGGCTCTCCACCTTTCTCTAGGAGCTGCTTTTACAGCTGCTGGGCTCTCATACTTGTTTTCTGCCAGAGCTACATTGCATCTATGCCCTTACCTGGCCAGGCACCCTGTTGATTTGAACCCTGACCCTGACACATGGATTTGACTCCCTAGCTTGATTTAGGACTTGTCTCATCACCATGGACTCGTCAATCTCCACTTTTGGCTGACACTGTTTACTACCTCCAGACCCACCACGCTTGCCCTCTTCAGGCACTGTAGACCTGCGCTCTGTTTGGGGTAACACTACTCTGCCTGCCTTGCTGTCACCCTGAATCTCTCTCCCTTGTGGAGCACTCTGCCCTTGCTGCTCGCCTACACGGACACCTCAGGTGTAATGCTGCGGTTAAAGAAAAAAAAAGAAAAGTTCAGGAGTAAATATGCAATAAAACAAAATTCCACCCAGAAAGGAAAATGGAAACGTTTTGCTCAAAACCTCGTAGAGTTACATCTCTACAGCATCTTTTGCTAAACTGTTTCTAATTGCAAGTATGGATTAGGGTAAAGGACTTACTCTTTACAAACAAACAAGAAATTGTTTTCATAGTAAGTAGGTAATTACCAGAACAGAATTCTATGCATGCTTAACTTCAAACACAGACGTTATAATAGCTTGGAATTTCCTGGTGTTTCTACAGTATTTTTAAATGAACAGTATTATCACTGATTTAGATTGATTTCCAGGCACGCTCCTGCTTCAAAATATCTGCTTCAAACTGGGTGTGGTTTTAGAGATTTTTGTAAAGTGTATATGGGCACTTTAGTTTCTTAACAATGATAGGTTTTTGTTAATGCTTGACAACTACCAGTCGTTGCATTGGTTCATAGTCTCATTCTTTCCTTAGTCATAAAATAAGACTAGCTGTGTCCTCTCTTCATGCTCCAGGTTCTTATCCCATTAATAGGAAATAATTGAGATATATTTTATTCTCTTTATTTCAGTGGGAAGAAAAAACCCACCTTATTACTACCTTCTTTAGATCCCATGGAAGCCAGATAAGCAGCTCCATACTTGATGTGAAAGTTTAGAGATGCAAGTAATTCATTTGGAAGAATGACACACCAAATTCTTAGCCCTCCAAGCATGAAGTAGGACAGATATCCTATCATTGTCAGACAACACAGGATTAAAGAGCAAGGTTACCTGCAGAAAAGGTAGGGAAACTAGATATGCTAAATGGGCAAAACAAGGAGAGAAATTGCTCTTCTCCCAACTCCTGGGTCCCAGGGATCACAGGGCTTATTCACTTTTCTTTTGCGAATATACACCGGAGTTGTGGACTGATTTCTACAAACCCTGAAGTAAGACTGATGTTAGTATATTTCGCATTTAAGGAGAGAAGGGGTGCATAAGAACCTGAATATCCAGGGAACTGGTGTGCTTCTGTGCTGGTGAGAAAGGGATGCCATTTTATATGGTAGCTTGTGACAAACTCATTAGCATATTGGAGTGACTCATGAGGACCATTATAAAATATCTTAGGGTTTTTTTTTCCCTTTACATTTGAGCAGAAGGATGCTTTTCATCTCTGGCTCGGCTATTTCTGATACTAGCTAGGACATGTTTCAAGGCATTCTCCATGCTTTCATGCAGGGCTTATGAAAAGACTATTTTTACCACATGACTATTAGTGAGTCTCTTCAGTCCTCCTGCCTCCCTCAGGGTCAAATTCTCCCCTGAAATTGTGCTCTGACTATGTAAGAGATATATATTGAAATTCCATGGGGAAGCGTGGCTAGCGTAAAGCTGAAGAGAAGATTACTTTGCGGTTTTGGTTAAACACAAGTGGATCATTCTCTTAAATAACTCAGTGGTTATTTTTGTTCCCTCTGATGTACCAGTGGTTCAATAAATACTCAGCACGTAAGTTTGGTTCTTAAACCAACTTACACCTTGTTCTGCTTCAAAAAACGACCACAAATCTAACCGAGTTAGTAAGCTTTTGTGAAACCACTACAACTCTGTGTATTATGACTAGGATATATTTAAAATCCAGTCTTTTTGGTCCCACAAAGAGGATTCTCTTCTCTTTTAATAGTAGTCTGAGATCACTTCTACTTCCAACTATGGAATGAACATGAACTACCATTAGCAGCACCATTTTGCTGCATTACTTTATATTCATAGCATGTAACCAGTGGGCCAGACTCTGAATGAAGAAGCAACATTTCTCACCCCATTCTCGTGTGCTTGGGGGGCACTTTTATTTAAAAAAGAAGTCGTGATATGTAAGAGAATCATATAACATAGTCACGCAATATATGAAGTATTGCAATGCATGTATTGTAACTGTGCACAGTAACCCGGGTTAACCAGCTCTGGTAAGTCTGCCCAAGTAAAAGTTTTGGGGTATAAATGTTAAAGCCTGGGAAGAAGAAAGAGGGAAAGAAAATTTGTTTCAGAGTTGCCTGGATTTGTATGACCAATAGGACCATGTGGAGCCCTACAGGCTGTATGCATTCTAAGAGAATTTAAATAGCCAAAATATTTGTGGTTAAAGGAGCAAGGAGCAAAGCAAGGAGTACCCAGGACCGCAAGAAAAGTAAAGAGTAGCAAGCAGGATCAAAGACCAGAGCTGTGAGGACAAAGGTTTACACATGCCTGGCATCACACAGTGAGGAAGTGCTTGTACCTCTGTATTGAACAAATATGTTTCACTGGATTTCTGGGCTGAAAGTGACCTTCATGGGATGCAGACGTACTCCAACTGCTCTGTCGTGCTGTCCTCTTTTTCCTGACTGGAAATCCTGATTGCGAGATGAAACTAGCTGAGAGGCAACAGATTTGCTGAATGCCATCCACTGGCACAAAGAGACTGCAAGAAGGCCCTGTCATTAAGTTCTGGGAGATGGTAATGAGAATTTTTGCAGAATGACGTTCCACAGGCAAGTAATGAAGTAAAGGGACAGGGTTTACTGTCCCTCCCTGACAAAGGGAGTCAATAATCAGTTTGGTCTGATTTATGTGAGAGTGATAGGAGAACCTTAAAGGAAGAGTAAGTCTCAGTGGTTAGGGAGAAACAGGGAAGTCCTATTCAGAATTGTGAGATCTGTATTTACTCTTCATTTGATGTATGAAATGACAATGACAAGAGCCAAGCACATCTGGACTTACGTTGTGGTGCCATTGAGGGCATCTTCTCTGTCTCACATAAGAACTGTCATCAGTATTTGTTACTACTGCCTTCTGTAGTGAATGCAGAGACTCCATTTTTCTTTAGAGTGTGCTGAAACAATAGGCTTGTCCAAGATCTACACGAAATAGTGAAAAAGACACTTGTTGATACAACAGAAGTGTCAGCTCCCAGGGCAAACTGCCAGAATCCAAGCAAACAGCTTGTATTATTTAGATGTGTTTTAAGCAATGACATACAAATTATGTTTTCTTACAGGTAAAAGAAAATTCTAGTCACATACCTGATATAGATTTTCCACCTGTGTTTATAAATCCCTAGATCTGCCTGTGCCCTTGGTATTCTTACTAAGGGATTTGGTTTTAAAATGGAGGAGAAAGGTCCAGGTTCACACTAAGGACGTTTAGACACAACAGCGAAGGAGCAATTCAAGTTTCTACCTGTCCATAAACAAAAAACAAAACTGTAAATAAGATGATAATGGCCATGCATCATTAATGTATCACAGTGGGGAACTCTGGTAATGCAACATTTTTACAGATATATCTTCATCGGTTTTCTGTAATAATCTTTTGAAAGACCATTCACTTGGATTTAGCCAGGGTAAATGTTACTATTCTTAACATATTTTTTTCACGTTGTTTTCGTTAGCCAAGATGTTGCTCTTCTATTAATACTAATTTTTAATTAGTTCAAGAATACACTCATTTAACTCCTTTAGTCCTAGGACAGCAGTAATCACAAACATAATTCTGTATAGGCGACATTCATTTACTGTTACCGGAGAATCTCAGTTCTGCCTCAGTGGCGAATCATATCTCACTTATTAGAGGCAACAATAGTGATGGTTAGAGACATACAAAGAAACACCACAAAAGTGATTTCTTTAAAAACATGTTTTTTCTTATTCTAGCTTTGTCACAGTGTTGAATGAAAGGAAATAGATGGAAGGAACAGATTTGTCTTACAGCAGTAGATTTATAAAATGCAGATAAATCAGCATGGAGAAACTTCTAAGTTTTTGTGTCCTTTTATTGGGTTCACAAGCCTTGAGTTAGTGTTGGCTGCAGAACTGTAACCTGAATTTCTCCCTCCCTCGACTGCATTAGGCATTCAGCACACCAAAAAATATTTCAAGCAATTTCCTTCAGAATTGTTTCCAACTCCATGAGCTGGTCAGTTTTGTCAAAGCTGTCCCAGGATGCACCATTGTGCCACCATAATTATTTCAGGACTTTCTACCTTCTTTTTTTATTAGTAGTTGGACTTTAATACTCTGCTAAATTATGAGGAAAATATAGCCTATCTCAATTGCCACGATTAAGTCAATTTTCTTCTCAGTATTTTCTTCACCTTAATATAAACTTTGGTAAAAAAACACTAGTAAAACTAATTTGTCTGTATTTTTCTACCTCTAGCTTAAATGCCTTTTCTTTGGAAGATGTAATATATTTTTCAGCTTAGATCTTATGAATTTCACTTACATCTTGTTTTTTAACTGTTTCATTTAAAGCTAAGAGATAGATAGATAGATATAGATATAGATATAGATATATTTTTAACCTGCTTAAAAGATTGTCAGCAGCACTTACTCTGAGAGCTGTTTTCTGCAGAAAAGACAAAAATGGGTTCTAGGAAACAGGGACTAGTGGAAGGGACATATTTGCCTGACTTTCTCTCTAATGCAAAGTGAATTTACAGAGGACCTAGGAAGTGCTGAGCTACCTCAAAAACTGAGGGTATTGCAACTACAAAAGGCAGGAAGGTGGTGACCCTATTTTATCTGCTTTGAAGCTCCTAGGGCACTAGAGTGAAAACAGACAGAACCCTTTGTCCCAGAGGGAAAAAAAAATCCCCAAACTCAGGCTCAGCATATCTAATTACAGAAAACAGCAGTACTAGGAGGAGTTAATAATTTGGCTGCTATTGAAACTCTGTTATGGCATGTTCCACCTCTCCACAAGCACAGTTGAGCGATAGCAGTACAGTTTACTGAATCCCTCCTAAA